TTCTCCTGATGGAGATACAAAGTGGAATTCAAGACAGTAGTATGTGAGAGATGGGATTTTTGAAAGGCAGTGCTATAACAAAGGTCTAAATTAAGTGCTCTGAGAATGCAGCAGGGAGAGTTAGAGTATGAGTCTTAGAAAAGCTGTGGTTTCCCCTGGGCTCTGTAGGATCAGTAAGAGTTTGCAGAATTTGATGTAGTAGGTGAGGGGGTGATGACAACAACAAAGGGAACAACAGGTGTAAGGGGTGTGTGAGCACAGTGTACATTTGTGTGACCCCAGCCTCTGTCATCTCCCTTATGCCAGGAAATGGTTATAAGAAAGCCTGGTAATACAAATGAATGATCTGATTCTTCATTCGAGCCATCATGCCCAGCCTGTAAAGTTGTTTGATCAAGAAAAATAGGGCAGAGTAGGCACGGTGGCTCACACCTATAATCCCAGCTCTCTGGGAGGCTGAGACAGGAGGATCATTTGAGGACAGGAGTTCGTGACCAGCCAGAGCAAGACCCCGTCTCTATAAAAAAATAAAGATCAGCCAAACATGATGGGGTACACCTATACTCCCCAGCTACTCAGGAGTCTGAGCTTGAGGGATCCCTTGAGCCCAGAAGTGTGAGGTTACAGTGAGCTTTGATCATCCCACTTGCAATCCAGCTTGGGTAACAGAGTTGAGACCCTGTTGTTTTAAAAAAAAAAAAAACAAAGAACAAAAATAAAGAGAAAATTAGGGGAAATAAAGTTGAACTATAGAAAAGAAAGGAAAATCCAAACTACCAAAAGCATCTAATACTCAGCGGACTAGAGTGACAATGTCTTGTGTATTCAGCGAAACAAAACGGGATGTCATTCCCTCTGAGAGGGATCCTTTAGTCTGCTTTCTCAAGTGTGAGCACGGCTGGGCTGCATTGTTTTTTTATGTCCCTAATACACAGTGGCCCTTGTGTTCTGGCTCCTGTTTTTATTGGGGCTGTAAAAAGATTACAGACACCCCAACAATAAACATTCTGAGAATGTGAGGTCATAGTAATGTGACCTCACAGGGAGCCAGGTCCTTAGAAGGCCACTTGGATCAGCACACACTGGACCTAACAGGGTGAAGAATCTTTGGAAGAGGCTCAGGAGAGGAAGTATGGCCCAGGCATGCCCCAGGGGTTGTGATGGACTCTTTTTGGTGTCTTTATTGTTGCTGGTGAGTTTGAATTGCCATCATATTGCCAAGCTTTCTGATGTAAAACCAGCAATTTTTGTTCTCTTTCAAGTAATCTCATAAATTCGACAGAGTGAAACCATCAATAAAGGAGGTATTTGTCCTCACTTAATTCCTTATTTTCTCCTTTTACTAAAGGTTGTTTTTTTGTTTTGTTTTTTTTTTAAGGAAGATCCAGAGAAGTCTGATGTGCACAGATTTTAAAATTATACCACCTTGTGAATGTTTGGAAAATTAGATGAAATCAACTACACTGGGCAAGAGAGTAGAAGAGGCAATATGTAGAATGAGAAACACGATAAATAAGAATGATTTGAGTAGTAAATTTTTAAATGTGTGCTCATTAGGATAAGCCTCTTATATTTGAACAAAATTGGACCAGTACTACATATGTGGTATAATTACACTATTTGCACAGAATGATTAAATAAATGCCATGAATTTGCCCTGAGAAGTAAGCAATAAGTAGCAGTTTAATTGAGAAGAAAATCTTTTCTTTGACATTTGTTTTTACTACACGATAGCTATTACATATAGGAAAAGAATGCATGGAAACACAAGTCCAGGGATTTTATTTTTTATAATTATAAAAATTACTTGATTGTAACTATTATAGTTCTGGAGTAAATATTTTACATTTCCACCACTGATGTGGGAAAACAAAGTAATCATGAATTGCCTAAAGCAATTTCTACTATGAGTTGACTTGTTATGGGTATGTTACAGATAATAATTAATGACGCATTTTCTAATAGAATAAATTTTACAGAACTGACTGGTAATGTTAACTCTATGAAGGGAAGGTTTAGATTTCAATTTATCATAGTGAATAAATTTAATTGGTGGATATTTTCTGTTGGAAAAATGTTTAAAGTGGCTTATTGTTGAAGGAGAGTTCCCATCTACCCTGGTGTTCCTGGGTCAGTTCCAGTTTACGCCTATTCTGGCATTGGCATCAACTGTGGTTTAGTATTTGATTCAGACTTTGCAAAAATGAAGCATTATCACTAACAGTTGCAGTAAAATAATCCAGCATGGGTTTAGAAGAACTCCATTTTGGACTACTGGTGTCTCTTGTGGTCTCATCTGGGAATGTGTGATTTGACATTTTGACATAATTGAATCTCTAAGGGATAATCTGGGATAACCTGTCTCTCTTCTTCCTACTCTTCTAGCTTCCTTTCAAGGGCAGTTTGGGGGGTACTTGCTGATAAAGTGTGCTTGGCTTATAGAGGAGTTGCTAGGGACAGTTAATTCCTTCAAGTCTGGGGGCAGTCGGGGAAGGATGGGGCTCTGCAGCTACTTGTTTTACCAACTGGTTGTGCAGTGGCCCTCACTGCATGCTGAGTGACAGTGAAGCTGCCAGGCCACCACTTTCTTGGTAGATCAGGAGGAAATGGGAAATTTTGAGGTAGAATAAATGACAAGATAGAGGCTGAGCAGTTCTGCTTAAAAATGTATTCATTCTTGCTACAGTGCTTTTTATCATTGATTACATGGTGTAAGTTTATAACATTTTTTAGGTTTAGATTTTTAAAAATAAAACAATTTGACTTATAATTCAAATACTGTAACATTTACCTTTTTACAGTATAAAATTAAGTGGTATAAAATTAAAGTATAAAATTTAGCGTATTCAGAGTTGCTTAGCTCTCACCACTCTCGTAAGGATGTTTTCCTCACCCCAAAAGAAATTACGTACCCATTAGTACTATTTTTTATTGATAATAGTTTTTTTTTATTTTATAACTATTATATCTTTAATGATTTTATCATCACTGTCCCTCTTCAGAGAGTCCTAGTTTAAGTAATGAATGGTTACTTATAATGCAGGCCTTATTAAAGAACTTTGGGATAGAACAAGGGATGTGAACTCCCATACATAGGCCTAGTTCAGCCCGGCCTGGAATGGCTTTTATGATTTTCAAGGTTGTAACAAAACAATATCAAAGCAGCATGTGTCACACAGACCTTATGTGGCCTGAAAGCCTAAAATATTTGCTGTTTGGTTCATTATGGAAAAATTGTGACTAGCCTTGGTTCAGAGTCTATGCTTGGAAGAGTTTATTGCAAGGCCATTTAAGAACTGTGTTTTATCACGATCATGTCTTTGTTACCAAGTTAAAATGAAGACTTGGAAATTAATGTCTCCTCATTGGTTTTAGTGTGAATAGTGCATGAGGTGATGCTGGCCACAGGCTGAAGTTTGATTCCTGTCTAGATTGGAAGTTCTCCAAGTGTGGCCTGTGAGGCTTCCTTCATTCAGCAGGTGTGGGAGGTCAAAGTTACTTTATACTAATTACTACAACATTACATTCCTTTTTCTCCGTGTTGATACTGTGTAGTACCAAAGCAACAGAAAGGACCTTAGCAGAAATCTAGGCAGTGGCACCAAGCTGATCTTGTTGTCATTACATTCTCCACTGTCATGTACTCAAAGTAAAAACAAGGCCAGTTTCACCTAAAAATGTCCTTGGTGAATCCAGTACAGATTAATTTTATTACCTCTCAACGCTTGAGTTCATGTCTTTAATTTCATGTGTGATGAAATGGGAATAAAGCAGTCCTGCTCCTGATGGCTAATGGCAGGAAAAGCATGTGCATGTCATTTGAGTTGGGGCAATAAGCTAGTCACTTTTTTCATGGAAAGTCATTTGTCCTTGCAAGAATGACTGACAAACTATGGTTATTGGCATATGTCTTTTTTTCAAGAATGAATATTGTAAGCCTGTTACTTTAGGGAAAACTGACAATATTTATAGCCAATGATTAAAATTAGGATTTATGATCAAAAATTAGAATTTTGGAAAACTTATATCTACCACCAAATGTTTCTACAGCTTCCCGATGCTTAGACTTTTCTGAAGATACTGGTAGTAACATTAATGAATGCATTTTTTTAATTGTATAATGAAATGTGTCAACAATATTTTGCAGATGACCAATGTGTGAGGTTACAAAATCATGCATGAGTAAAAGATCCATTCAAAGTCTAAGACAGATTTTAATGTAAGAATACAAAAAATTCATTGGCATAGTTCAGATTCTATATTGCAACTAACTTTTACAAAGACTACCACTTGTCTTATTTTGAAAAAAGACTACTACTTATTTTGGAAAAAGACTAGTAATCTTATTTTGGTGTCATATTAAAAGAGAATATTTATAATTATCTGAAAAGGATAATAAAATATTCCTCCTTTTTCTAGTTAAATATCTGTGTGAGGCCAGGTTTTCTTAATATACTCCTACCACAACAATGTCGAATATAGAAGTGGCTCTGAGAATCCAGCTGTCTTCTATTAAGTCAGCCATTAAAGAAATTTGTAAAAAATGGAAAACATTGTCGCTTGTCTTGCTAAATTTTCTTTGGGAAAATACAGTTATACTTAATAAAATGTAGTATTTGTATTATGATACAGATTTATTAAATGAATTTATAAATATTTAAATTTTTCTATTTTAATATCTAATATGATAAAAATCAAGAGAGATAACCCACATAAACAAAGGCTCTTTGAAGTCACCAATAATTTTAACATAAAGGTCTGAGCCCAAAACATTTAGGAACCACTTGTCTATGGTTTAGGCAATTATTTCTTGAGTCCTTTGAAATTTATTAGCTGAAAATACTTTTATGAGTATTTAAGTATAAAATGATCTCATTTAAAATAGTTTTCATCTCATTGATTATACAATATCATGATAGTTTCATCAGGTTTAATATTTCCTCTTTTGCCATCCAAGAAAAATCTTTTCTATTGTTTTCCTCCTTTATCAACTATCACAGCAATGCTGGGGTGAAAACAGCTCGGCTAGAGGCGCATTCTGAAATGGGGAGCACTGAAATTGTGGAAAAGGAGACCCCAGAAAATCTCAGTAATGGTACCAGCAGCAACGCGGAAGCAGCCAAAAGGTTGGCCAAACGCCTTTACCAACTAGACAGATTCAAAAGATCGGACGTCGCAAAACACCTAGGCAAGAAGTATGTTCTGACCCAAGGGTGACTTGTCTGAGTTTTATCCTATTTTGTGTGGGTGTTTGTGTTTATATTAATAGCTTCCATTCTAATAACCAAGTCTCTTCTTTTTTTCTTATTTATAGCAATGAATTTAGCAAACTAGTTGCAGAAGAATATCTGAAGTTTTTTGATTTTACAGGAATGACATTGGATCAGTCTCTCAGGTATGATTAAACATTACTTCTATTTTTCATAACCTCCAAATGATTAATTCTTAGCAGAGAACGTAATGTGCTATAGCCAGAATATGATTTTACTTTTTTAAACCCTCAGTCATAAGTTTGTGTATCCGTTATCTGAAATGCTTGGGACCAGAACTGTTTTGGATTTGGGATTTTTTCAGATTTTGGAATATTTGCATTATACTCATCCAGACAACATCCCAAATATAAAAATAGGAAATCTGAAATGCTCCAATAAGCATTTCCTTTGAGCATCATGTCGGCACTCAAAAAGTTTCACGTTTTGGAGCATTTGAAATTCAGATATTTGGATTTGGGATGCTCAACCTGTACTTTGTGAACTTGGCTCAGATTGTATTATAGATATTAAACATAGCAAAGAGTAAGAAAAACATACTGTTTTTTATGAAATCACACAGGAAGTGATATTCTGCATCTAAGGGTAAGCCCGAGTCCAGATGGCAGAGTGAAGAATGGTGGCAAAGCAAATCTGGAGAACAAAATGGAATCTGTGGGAGTTTTTCTGTTTTTCAATTTTTTTTTATTGTGGTAAAATACACATAACATAATTTACCATCTTAGCCATTTTTAAGTGTACAGTGGTATTAAATACATTCATAATGTTGTGCAACCATCACCACCATCCATCTCCATAACTCTTTTCATCTTGTAAAACAGTAATTCCCCCTTCCCCTCTTTCCCCCAGCCTGGCAACCACCATTCTGCTTTTCGTTTGAATGATTACTACTCCAAGTACCACATATAAATGGAATCTCATAGTATTTGTCTTTTTGTGACTGGCTTATCTCACTTGGCATAATGCCCTCAAGATTCATCAATGTTGTAACATGTTGGAGAACTTTCTTCCTTTTAAAGGCTGAATAATACTCCATTAGTGGATATACCACCATTTGCTTATCTATAGACAGTAAGGTTGCTTCCATGGTTTAGCTATTGTGAATCATGCTGCTATGAACACGGGTGTACGAATATCTTTTTGAGACCCTGCTTTCAGCTCTTTTGGGTAGGGAGTTTGGTTTTTGAATTATCAGTTAAAAAAACAAAAAGTTTACAGACTGTTGAATTAGAGAATTTTTTTCCTAAACATTTGCTTATTATAGCCAAATTGCCTTTCAAGGTGATACTTTGGAATTAACTCTTGAGTGGAATAAAGATGAATATAACATACAATAATCAGTGGAACATACCTGCAAGATTGTTTCCCAACAATACCTACTTTTTGCTGCCCTTTTCAAATGAAGATGTTTTTAAAACACATTGATCCTATTCACATTATATTATAAATTTCTAAGAGCAGCTGAAGGTAAAACCCAGACAGCATTTAATCTTACACATTTATAAAATGCTGGTGCTTGGAAGAATTCTGAGATCATCTAGTATGACCCTTTAATTTTACAAATTAGGAAACTGAGGCCAGGGAGTTAGTAAACTGAGGATATTTGGATTAGAGTGTACTACAGTAATTTATTCTGTGGCTCTTGCCATGCATCAAGGGTACTCATAAGGAACGAAGGAAAAATTTTTGTAGAAATAAGGTTTATTGTATATATGTATGTATAGTAAGATTTCTTAGTATATTTTAAATGTTTTTGCTTCCCAGCTCATAATTAGGAAAATGCATCTATGCTGTCAAGTGAGGGTCATCTGGATTAATCTATAGTAAACTGTTTTAATTAGTGGTTTAATTAGTGGTTCTAGGCATATTTCCTATTTTAAAAAGTTTTATACATAAATTATTCCATAATTTAAGGAATAAGCTAGGGTTTTATCTCCCAATTTCTTCCTCATAACAAATTAATCATAAAATGTGATAAGACAAAAAAAATTAACAGAAATCTATGCATATAGCATTATAATTGTAATTTTGGCAGTGGGTTAGTGGAGATTACAAACATATAACAAAATGACAAGAATCCTGATATGTGTAGAGTTTTAAAACGTGGCCTATATGATTATGCATTGAGTTTTAAGTGTTCTTTGCTGTTTTTTATTAACCTTTTAAAATTGGCTACTTGATACTTAATCATAATGGGTAATTACCTATCTTTCCAAGGCTTTCTTGATGTGTTGACACCCCTGTTATCAACTTGTCTTCTTTTATATTGATATTTTATAGAATTTAAATACAAATACATATTTATATTGAATGACCATCCAGGAAGTGAGTTTTTAAAAAGAGAACTGTATAATATCTTTGTATAATTAATCTCATGTTTATATAAATCAACTTTAACTGTCAAACATAAATAGTGTGGTTAAAATTTTCTAAAATTTCACTTTTTTCTCCTTAATTCTCTTTTAGGTATTTCTTTAAAGCATTTTCCCTTGTGGGAGAAACTCAAGAACGAGAGAGAGTTTTAATACACTTCTCCAATAGATATTTTCATTGCAACCCAAATACCATTGCTTCACAAGGTAATACAATGTAAATTCTTGAATTTCTTTTTCATAACAATAGTTATTTTCCTTATTATGAAAGTTGAATTTTATCGTGGAAAATACAGAAAATTGTACAGAAAAAATCATCTAAGTATCTCTAATTACCTAAATATAACTATTAACACTTTGACTTTCTTCTAGTCTATTTATATAATATTTAATGTCAAATTGGAATCATTAAAGAGTTTTATTTCCTACTATCTTTTTATTTCATTGTAGTCATGTTCTCATGCCATTAACTACTCTTTAAAAGCATAATATTAAAAGCATGATACTCTTTCTTAATTATTTCTACTCTGTTTTCCAATTCAATAGTGTGACTATACTTTCTTTAAATCATTTGCGCTTTCCCACTTGTTTACTTTGGTGATTAGTTTTGGAAACATTTACAAATAAAATTGGAAGTTGTGCTGTCTCTGGTGCTTTTGTTGGGTAATAATGACGCTGACCACTGACTTTCTTCTATGATTTTAATGAACTATGAGTCTATGTTTATTGTACCATTTTTACTTAGTAAACTATTTAATCATAAACTACTTCATCGTTGACCTGCCTTATAAAGAGAGGTCTTTTCTCCATTCTAATTCCTGCAATAAAGTTTTCAAAGTTTGAAGTCTAGCACATTCAGTTGCAGTTGGAAAAACTTGCATAAACTTTCAAACTTGAATAAATCACTGAGACCAGGTGTATAAGGAATAGTATTTATCTCTTAGCTTCGTTATTGTGGGTTACCTGAGATAAGTGTGCTTGGTATTGACCAAGGTGTTTGCACCTGCCTTCCCTCTGTTCCCCAGGCTGTAGCTGCAGTTACTTCATCATCGGATAATTAATGACACATTCCTATCTAAGTAAACTGGTGTAATTTGGACCACTTATTCACTATCTCTGTCACCTTTAGCATTGACTGGAGAATGAAAGAGATAGACGAGGATTGTTTTTATCAGAACCTCCTTCAGATCTAAAAATATGTTGACATTTCTGGGAAAAATAAGGAATTGGCTGTTGATAAGCATATTTGAGGCTGCTGAGTTTTACAAATACTTACTAGCAATGTGTTTTAAATGTATGTAGAAAAATATGATAATAAAATGGAACTAGAATAATAATATTTTTAGGGATTTAGCATCTACTTAGAGACTGCTAACAGAAATCACCTACTATACTAAAAACTTACACTCGTAAAAAAGGCTGTCTTTTATTTATGAATTCAGAAATTAGGCCTTTCTGTACATTAAGCATAAAATCGATAACATTTTTACTGCATCTGAAAGTACTATTGTCTATTGTACTTGTATTGAGAATTAGTAGGGAAATGGTAAGAGGAACAACTAACTGTAATGCTTGGAAATAAGAAACTTAATTCTTCATGCTTTTCCTTTTCCTGTATAAACTAAGAAAGAGTGATGTTGCCATTTAAGTATGAAATGATCCTTCTGTCTTGGGCAACCTTTTTTCCCCTCGATTATTTACTTTTTTAAATCTTCACAGAATATTTCAATATTTTACTTGGTTCTGGTCCATAGTATCTTAAACAAAACCGCTCAACCTAAATCTTGCCTTTAGAGAATGGCAAGAAACCCAGACACACTGGTACACACCTGTAGTCACAGCTATTTGGGAGGCTGAGGCAGGAGGATGGGTTGAGCCCAACACTGCAAGGCTGTAGTTTTCTGTGATCACACTTGTTGAATAGCCAGGCACCGCACTGCAGCCTGGGCAACATAGGGAGACCCCATCTCTAAAAAATGACAAGAAAGAGAACTATCCCTGCCTATATATTTTTAGCCAGAAAAGTAATACCCAAACAGTATACAGCGGAAAACTTAAATCTTGGTTTTCTTTAACTTTCATTTCTTTCTCAATTCACTTTCCTCCCAGAAAGTAAAAAAGTAACCATGTTAATTTGTTTCCATTTTCATATTCTGTTACAGAAAATCGAGAAAATACAAATAAAAACATAAAAATTATAATCTCACTACCCAGAGATAATCGCTTTTAATATTATGGTGTTTATTCTTCTAGATGTATTTATATATAAATAGAATTATACTGCATATGTTTTTCATATAATTTATTGTGAAATATCTTTCCATTTCAACATGAATACTGGGCTAACATTCTTAATGACTTTGACATAACAGAATTGTTTTTTGGAGGGTCACATTTACTTGTCTCCCATTGTAAACAATACTTCTGTGTATATACTTGTGCTTTATATAGATCCTTAATTGTTGTCTTAGTATAAGCCCTAGAAGTAGATCTGTCGTGTCAAAGGACACCGTTTCAAGGCTTTACGTAAGTACTGTCAAATTGTCCTCCAGAAAGATAGAACAATTTACTTTGTCAACAACAGTAGGGTCCAACACTGTGCACTGAGGTGCAATCTGTAGTTTATTCTTGGCCATTTTCTGTCCCCCAAACAAATATGGTTGATGGTGCCTAGGACAGTATCATGTTTTTGTAGGTCCTTAATATGTGCTGTTTTAATGATACTAAGGGGGGGAATCCAACAGTAAATAGTAACAAATGCTTTCTGTTCTTATCTCCCTCTTTAGATGAAGTCCATTGCCTTACCTGTGCAATAATGCTTCTTAACACCGATCTACATGGCCATGTAAGTGTAGGCTTGTGAAGCTGTCTTACAGAAATCTAAAGCATCATGGGCTTGTTAATCTTTGTTTTTGTGTCCATATATGTTTATTCTCTGCCTCCCTTTTTATCATTCTCTGCATGGTTCCCATGGCAGGCAGATAAACATAAATCTTTGAAAAAAATAACTTTTTTATTTTACGTGTTAACACAGAGCATAACTGAATGTGTTGTTTAGGTACCTGGAGTTGTTTTAGCAGAAATGTGTGGGTTCTGTATCTTTTCTCTCCACTAGATGGCATACAGACCTTTTACTTGTTTTCATTTTGGGTTTTGCTAGGTATTATGGCTGATATATAATGATGAAAAGAGAATATAAGTTCTGAAAATATCAATTTTGTTGTCACTAAGTCTAAGTCTTCGAACTCAGGCTTTTCTGTACTTCTCAGTTCCCCTTCTGCTAGTTAAAATATCAAAATAACCTATTTATCTTCTATTTAAAATAGAAAATTATACATGAACTTTCACTTTTCACAGATGTGGAATTTTGGGCTTTATTTAAACTCTTCATATTAGATAAAATGACAATGTTTTAGTTAAATATGGATCAATCTGTGCTTAGAGCAAAAATTATCTCAAAGTGGATTATCCTTGATTTGCTATAATATAATTTATCTCACAATTTAAAAATTTACATTAAAAAGTTGGGTGTGGTGGCTCACGCCTGTAATCCTAGCACTCTGGGAGGCCGAGGCAGGCCGATTACTCAAGGTCAGGAGTTCGAAACCAGCCTAAGCAAGAGTGAGACCCCGTCTCTACTGTAAATAGAAAGAAATTAATTGACCAACTAATAATACATACACAAAAAATTAGCCGGGCATGGTGGCGCATGCCTGTAGTCCCAGCTCCTCGGGAGGCTGAGGCAGAAGGATCGCTTGAGCCCAGTTTGAGGTTGCTGTGAGCTAGGCTCACGCCACGGCACTCACTCTAGCCTGGGCAACAAAGTGAGACTCTGTCTCAAAAAAAAAAAAAAATACATAAAAAGAACTAATACTTAGGTATTTGTTGTACTATTCATATAATTCCCTTTTTTGAAACTATAGTGTTTCTCTTTACAGAAGGCAAGTTGAAGCCCTGTAGGGACCTATAAGTTAGACGAGCGATTCTAAGAGGACTAGGGGAAAAGGCTCCCATCGTCAGCAAAGTGAAGGGGAGATAACAGTGATAGACCCGTAACCTTAACATTGTCTTTCCTTGTCTCAAAATAGGAAACTAGGAAGTTCCTTTGGCAATTTGTAGGAGGCGAATTCAGAATAACTTAGTGGCTTGTAGACATATGCAGCATGTGTTCCGAGATTGAGAATATAGATATTTGAGGGAGAATCCTTGGGTAACAGGGCCATATTATAGCATATGGAAATGTACACAGTGATTCCCACAGTGTGAGCCTTGAAATGAGTACGAGAATCTAACATTCATCTAGCTTCAGGGGATAACCGATCGATGTTACCGGTCAAGCAAGCTTTCACTGCTTTCTTTTCTCCCTGTTGTGTGTACTGTGCCTTCTCCTTTCCCTTCCAATCCCCAATTTCGTAACATTCTGGCCAAAGGAGATAATTGTGAGTGTGCTTGTGCACATGTAACATTGATCCAAATCAGTGATCCCCAGCGTGGGGAATCCTTTTCTCAGCAGATATCTTGAGGGTCCCATGAACATAAAAGATTTGTACATGTAACATCTGTTGAATGTGGAAAATATCTAATGATTGGGGAAAAAAAATCCAGGAACATATTAATTCCTATTTAAAGGTTGAAGATCTCATAGAATTGCTATAGAGTCAGTTGTCAGATTTTGGGGGACTTGTTTCTATTAAATCCTCAACTGCTTTTTAAAAAGCTAATATAGCTTTAAAACTACTCTCAAATAAACATGTATTTTGTTAATCACAATAATTTAAAATACAGCAGCAAATAAAGGTATGAGGATTGTTTTCTTATGCAGATATCTCTGCATGCTTGATGTCCAGGCAAGCTGTGGCTATCCTAGTGTGCATATGCCACAGGTTCAGAACCACAGATTTAGACAGACTGTTTGCTCTCGCCCTGTCTGCAGACAACTTTTGAGGGGCTGCAAAGAGATTAGATGGAGCATCATGCTGCTTTGTTGCTACTGGGATGGAAGAGCCAGTTTATATATATGACCATTTTAATATTGAGTCGGGCCAATCATAGATAATTAATAATTGGTTATAATAGCAAAATTACTGATAAAAGAGAGAGAGAAAACTATAAATAATAGGAAATCTGTATCTTCAGGATCATGGTTTTGTTCCTTGTTCATTTTCAGCTTTGTTTTAAAAAATGTGCTATATACTTAGGATTGTCTAAAGGTTTTCTACATTAGTTTTCTTTATCCTTGTTTATAATACATGCTCTTTCAAGTCTATTGAATGTATAGTAGCTATCATAAGAACTAACCATATAAAAATGTGTTTCTCTTCCTCCTTTGGATTCATTTTGAAAATAAATTTTCCTTCTAGGTGGTAAGTTTTGATCCATAATTCTGGATGTAGCTTCTCTTGCATCATGATTGCCTGATTTTTTTTGTTGTTGTTGTTATAGTGTCTCTTTGACTTACTAGCATGAGGTGGAATCATTCAGAAAGTAAAGTGAATTATTTCTACTGTCTGCCCCTTTTTACCTTTTCCTTAATGCCTAGGCTACCACCACCTGTTATTTGGTCCGATGCCTGAATAATCCTCTAGGGGAGTAAACTAATAAACTATTTTTCTTTTCTTCCTTACCATTGTGTCATGATAGCAGAATAACAGCATGCTCCTTCTAAGAATTGTTGAGACCAGCTTGCTCTCATGCTTTCAGTAGGGGAGGGCTAACCTGGGAGATTAACTTCTTTTGGCTGTTCTTGGTGAATCTTTCCTTTACTCTGAGGAGTGATGCACTGAAAATGCATTGGTATGGGCCTCAGTTTGGCCTGCTATTTCCTTACTAATAAAGTGATGGAATGTATACTAAAAAATACTTCTAACATAGCTCAATGTGACATGCTGGAATGCCTTTCTTTCTCTCTCTAATGTCTTTTCTCATTCAGTGAACACATATAGTGTGTCTACTCTGTTCCAAGTTCTGTGCCATTTGGGTAAGGATCAGAAATGAATGAGACATGTTTGTGGAGCCAAATCTTGTCTCTGGTAGTGTTGGCTGACTTGACCTCATTAGTCAGATTCAGCTGGAGACGTGGGAGCAGGTAGCTGAGGTGCTGTCGTGGAGAACACTGGGAGGTGCTTTAATTTCACATGGGATTATAGTTAAATCTCACGATTTAGGCTAGGAAAAAAACAGTCTGAAGTGTACACAGTATTTGGGGAGAGAAATTCATTGATCCCCCTTCAGTACCTTCTTTAAAAAATGCGAATGATGTATCATTACCTTAGCAGGTAGCATCGACCTGCTTTTACCTGTCTGTATTTATTCTCTTAACTACTTCGTAATTTTGGTCATGTGGCTAAACTGCTAAATGGTCTTTTATTTTTAAAATGCTGCTTCATCTACAAAATATATATGCAAATTAAACTTCTATATATACAGATAGATTTCTATTAAACCCTAGAGTTTATCTTTCTTTGCTATATTGGAATTAAGTGGTATTGAATATTGCTTGAACAATCAACAAGGATAGAATGAAATCTTTTTTTTATTGTTTAAACCTTTCATTTTATTGGAAATGGTATGAATAAACAGGTTTGACAGGTTAGAATAATTCATACTTCTTCCCTTTCTGGGCTAATCTTCAAATATGTTCTGTTTGCTACAGCTAGCAATCTCTCTTGGATTTGGATCATAGTTAGGATCCAGACATCGTGACAGGATTATCGCCCAGGCTGAAGACAGGAGTCAGGGGCAGGACACTTGTCACCAGGGCTGGCGTTCAGAGGTGGCAGAAGTTTTAGACATAGCATTGAATTGCTTTGAGGAGTGAGATAGATGAGCGCATAGCCAGTTGGCCAGTTTCTCACAGCTAGAAAATCACAAGAGCAACACAAGCCAGTGGCTGGCTAAGGTCAGACCATGGTGAGAGACAGTAGCCAGGGCATTATTTTTAATCAAGATTTGTTGACAGAATCTACCTTTTAGCATAGTGGCTTGAGATTTTTAGTAGCAATTTTATCCAGTTATCCCTGTGGTCCCCAGTATTGATGGGAACCCGCCCACCACATGCAGTGGGTGTAAGAGGCTGGGGTGTGGCTTTTCTGGGGGAGATGGTTCTTTCTGCCTCAGCCTGGGCCTCTTGCACATACTTTGTCTTTGGGATACTGAGGGCTTGGTATCATCCCATGTAGTCTGAGTTTAATGAATAGGGCAGGAGCTTACTCTCAGGTTTTTAGTCTTGGGTTGTACTTTTGGTAAAGGGGTAAAACCATGGCTGGTACACCAAACTGGTAGGGAGAAGAAAGAAGTCAAGGAAGAAAGTAAGTATAGGTTTTGTAGCAGAATAAATGTTTAAGAGATTTGTGGAGTTCAGTTTGACTTATGTTGTAGGAATTCATTATTTCTTTTCTCATCTGTAAACTGAATTCTTGGATTTGCTCCGTGGGAACCTACAGTTTTAAATGGTGGATGAATACTTGGTTTATTGTCACTAGTGGAAAATGGTTATTATAAAAATTGTTATGAAAGAAATATGATGCTTTTAATTTTTCATATTGTGCTATCTTATATGCCACAAACCTCTGAGAGATTGATGAATCGTATGTAGTTGATATCCTCAAGAAGTCTCTGTATCTGTAGCTATCGTATTTGTAATTGGCAGCTGCCTTAAGTGCATTTTGCATGCTGCCCTCCCATCTCCTGTATTGCTGTCTTCCACTTGCATACATACCTCTTCCTGCCTGCTGCCCTTTATACGCCCTCTGCCATGAAATCCATCCTTTGCATTGCTTTTTCTCCCTCAGCTTTGTCTTGCTGTAGGGTCCGGCGATGGTCTTAATTTCTGTTAAACCAGCAATG